AAAAGGGACCTGATTTAGAAAGCTGCCCATCTGCGAGGGGTTTGGGTCGGGTTTGGGGGTTTCGGGTTCTGAGGTCTAGATTCTAGGGTTTTTGGGTTTCCCCATCTGCAAAAAATTCGGGTTTGGGGTTTAGGATTTAGGGTTTAGGGTTCGGCGTGGTTGAAGGTTTGTGACGCGGGAGACGCCCTAAGCAGCACCGCTACGGGCACAAGCTCCATTTTGGAGGGTGTGCCTCTGGTGATACAGTTGTCTCCTTTTTTTGGTTGCGGTTGCCGGAATGTCACGGAGACGACACCCAGTCGAAAAGCCTAAAACTTCAAACCCCTCAACGCTAAGCCCCAAACCAACCCCCCCCCCCCCCCGCCCAAACCCTAAACCTGAAGCCCTAAGCCCTAAGCCCTAAGCCCTAAGCCTAGCCCTAAGCCCTAAGCCCTAAGCCTAAGCCCTAAGCCCTAAAGCCCTAAGCCCTATAAGCCCTAAGCCCTAAGCCCTAAGCCCCTAAGCCCTAAGCCCTAAGCCCTAAGCCCTAAGCCCTAAGCCCTAAGCCCTAAGCCCTAAAGCCCTAAGCCCTAAGCCCGAAAAAAGCCTTAAGCCCTAAGCCCTAACCCTAAGCCCTAAGCCTAAGCCCTCAGCCCTCAGCCCTCAGCCCGAAGCCCCAAGCCCTAAGCCCTAAACCCTAAACCCCCCCCACCCCCCTCCAAAAAAAAAAAAACAACCTCATCCGAGCGACGCCGAGGACCTGGGCCCCAGGAATCACAGCGCCCAACTCTGACCTACTGCTGGATGAGGCCAGCGAAGGGCTCAGGGTTCAGGGATTTAGGGTTTCGGGTTTCGGGTTTAGGGTTTAGGGTTTAGGGTTTAGGGTTTAGGGTTTGAAACTTCTGGATGAGGCCAGCTAAGTCAGGGGTTCAGCGAGAAGCTGCATCTTTCACTGGGCTCAGGGTTGGGTCCGGGCAGAGCCAGGATGAGAGCGATTTAGGGTTTAGGGGTTGAGGGGTTGAGGGTTTAGGGTTTAGGGTTAGGGTTCAGGGTTGAGGGTTTAACGTGGCGCCCCAGGATGCCCAAGGTAGTCCGTACCCTGCAAAGTTTGCGGGGGCGGGGGGTGGGGGGGGCTGGTTGGCGCATGGCAAGGCATTGGCCAGTGTACCTTTCTAGCGTCAAGGGTTTAGGATTTAGGGTGAGATCTTTTCTGCTTCCCCAGCTAGGGCTACGCCGGATCACAGTGTTTGTGTGAAAGCAGTCTTTGTGTGAAAGCAGTCTCCCAAGCAGTACTTTCCACTTCTCCTCACACCCGGAAGTACAGCCCCTCTCAGCCTCAGCACGAGTTTAGGGTTCCCTACCCCGAGATCCATTGGAGCCAGAAGCCTCTAGGAACTCCTTGCCGGTTTTGCGCCGGTACCTTTGGTCAAGAGGCAGATCAAGGCCGGGCTACCCACGGGACCGTTCCGAAGGCACTTCGCCCTAAATCTTCGGGACCGCCTGAAAATAGTAGCCCCGAAAGGGACCACAATCAAGAGAAGTGACCATGTATATGTCTAATTACAATACGGGACTTTGAAGATCTAACGGGGTTGTAAGAAGAGGTGAGGGTATAGTCGGTAATTAAAGCGAGAGAGAGAGAGAGAGAGAGAGCCTGCGCTTGCGCTTGTGCTTGTGTGTGCGCGTGCGTGTGCGCGTGCACGTTCGCGTGCGCATGTGCGTGCGCTTACTTCAGGTTGTACTGCCAAGTTGGGTTCCGTGAGTATGTAGAACGTGTGTGACAAGCGCAGATCGGCATCTGGAATCATGTCCCGATAGGTCGATCACTCAACCCTAAATCCGAAACCTCAAACCCCAGCGCAAAGCCCAAAGCACCCCTCCGAGCCTGCGCAAGAGATGGTTTAGGGCTTTCGGGTTTAGGGTTAAACACTTTGTCGTAGTTGGGTAACATTTTGCATTTTTAAGGGTACTTAAACCCAATAAGGAATATAATTTTAAAATTTGAAAACAATCCCAACCATGAACTAGGTTAGGGGCCCAGGGATTCTGGAATGGTTTCTGACCCTGTCGACCTGGCAGCAACAGGTGAAGCATTCGGAGGATCTCTTCAGCCGCCTTGTCGAGACTTGGCTCAGATGCATCTCTTCTTGCTTGTGATGTGAGGTCGGTACTCTTAAAGCCCGTTGCTTGAGGGGTTTCGGGGGGGATGGTTTAGGGGGCTTTAGGGGGGGTTCCGGGGGGTTTGGAGGGTTTGAACTACGGATCTTGACCTGAGGGGTTTCTTGAAACAAAGAACCCTTTTCAGTTTCCACTTCGCTCTAAGGTGAGCCCACCCTAAACCCGAACCCCTAACCCCTAAGCCCTAAACTCTAAGCCCTAAGCCTTATGAACCCTAAACCCTAAACCCTAAGCCCTAAGCCCTAAGCCCTAAGCCCTAAGCCCTAAGCCCTAAACCCTAAACCCTAAGCCCTCACGTACTTGTAGAGGTTCGGGTGCCAGGATCCGGCTTCCATGGACGCCATGCGCTTCTCCGTGCGCTGTGTGCCGAGCAGGACTCCAGAGCAGGCATCCCCGCCTTTGTGGCCCTGACGCTCCGCTTGAAAGGGGTTTAGGGCTAGGGTTTAGGGTTTAGGGTTTAGGGTTTAGGGTTTAGGGTTTAGGGTTTAGGGTTTAGGGTTTAGGGTTTAGGGTTTAGGGTTTAGGGTTTAGGGTTTAGGGTTTACGGTTTAGGGTGTGTCAGGGGAGGGCGCGCGCTCGGGTGTGAAACACCCCGGGCCGCGCGCTCGCGTTGCCCGTCAACCCACCCCGGCCACCCAAACTATACTCTATTAGGGTTTAGGGTTTATGGAATTTACTTTCTTGTGCTCTGATGCTTGCTTTGATGTTTTTAAAGTTGCGCTGTTAGGGTTTAAGCTGGGGTTGGGGGTAGCCTCGGCCCTTTTCGGGCCTTCGGCGTGTCAGGGCCCGTAGAGGGCATTTTTTATTTGAAGGTCAGGGAAACCCTTTGTGTCTGCTTTTGGATTCCCCTTCTTTAAGGGCCTCAATTAAGCATCGATTTCACTACCAAAAAATCGCATTTTCATTGCGGGTACGGGCATCCTGGGGTCCCCCTTCTTTTAGGGGGCCTTTTGAAGCCTTTTGAAGTATTTTGGTGGCTCTTGGGGTCTCTCGGGGCCTTGTTCGGACCTTCGGCGTGTCAGGGGCCGTAGAGGATTTATTCATTTAAAGGTCAGGGAACCTATTAATGAGTTTTTCGCCAATGAGTCTTTCAATCGCTAGGGTTTAAGCTCGGGTTCGGGGTAGCCTCGGCCCTTTTCGGGCCTTCGGCAAGTTAGGGCCCGTAGAGGCCCTTATTTGCTTGAAGGCCTTCGTAGGGTTTTGCGGAGTTAGGGTTTAAGCTGGGGTTCGGGGTAGCCTCGGCCCTTTTCGGGCCTTCGGCACGTTAGGGCCCGTAGAGGCCCTTATTTGCTTGAAGGCCGTCGTAGGGTTTTGCGGTGTCAGGGTTTAGGCTGGGGTTCGGGGTAGTTTCGGTCCTTTTCGGGCCTTCAACACGTGAACCCGTAGAGGTCCTTGCTGATTTAGGGGGAGCCATCGATTTCAATACTAAAATGCGGGCAGGGGTGCCTAAAAACAATGTTTTCAATATTCTCATTGTGGGCACGGACAAATCTTGTGGTCCCCCTTCTTTTAGTGGGCCTTTTGAAGCTTTTGAAGCTTTTGGTGGCTCTTGGCGCGTCTTGGGGGCTTCCTAGGCCCTTAGCCGAGCCCTGGTGTTAGGGGTCCAGGCCCCTGGGGCCCTTGGCTGACCTGGCGGGGACCTATCAGGCGCCTTGGCGGCTTGGCTCCGGGGGGGCCCTTGGCCCGGGGGGCCCTTGGCCCGGGGGCTGCCCTTGGTTGGGGGGGTGCTTGGCCCCGGGGCCCTTGGCCCGGAAGGGCCCCCCGGGGCCCGCGGCCCGGGCCTTGGCCCTTGGCCTGGGGGGGCCCTCGAGGGGCGGGCCCTTGGCCCGGGGGGCCCTTGGCTCGGGGGGCCCTTGGTTGGGGGGGCTATTGGCCCGGGCCTGAAATCCGTCAAAAAGCCACCAAAATCACGAAATTGAGCAACCAGCCTGCCTGGACCCCTCGCCAGCCTCCTGGTCCAGGAATCCAGCTACCAGGGACCAGGGGGCCCCCGGGGGGGGGGGGCCCGACAAACCCTGAACCCAAAACCCTGAACCGACCTCCAGAGGCAAAGGGTTACGATTTGGGGTTATACTTTAGCTACGCTAAAGGTGGTCTGGGTGCCGGCCATCCCTTAGCCGAGTACTGACGTTGTCGTAAAAAAGGCCGATGTCCGTTGGCCTGTCCAGGACAGACGGTGAGGCTTAACCCTCACCTTTCCGTTTCTCTTTTCGCTTGGGCGCTCGGGCTGTAAGGCCCTCGGCCGAGCGTTCGGGGTCTGTCGCTCGACGGAAGCGACCCCTCACTTAGTTTAGGGTTTAGGGTTTAGGGCCTAGGGTTTAGGGCTTAGGGCTTAGGGCTTAGGGCTTAGGGCTTAGGGTTCTGGGTTTGGGGTTTAGAATTTAAGCTTGAAAAAGCCCTGACACCCTAAAACTTCAACCCAGACATGCGGTGACAGGCAGAGGTTGTTGTAGTCGAAAGCATAGCAGTCTGAAGCAGCATGGGGCACTCTTCTGGGTGGCGTGATGATGTTCCGGCTTTCAGTCTTTAAGGTTTAGGGTTTAGGGTTTAGGGTTTAGGGTTTAGGGTTTAGGGTTTAGGGTTCTTTAGGGTTTAGGGTGGCTGTGAATGGAGCCTCAACTGGCCGATGCCTCAGGGTTGCGCACGGTTCCTTATCGAAAGATTCAGCAGTGGCAACACTTAGGGTTTAGGGCTTAGGGTTTAGGGTTTAAGGTTTAGGGTTTAGGGTGTAGGGTGTTCCATTGCCGTTCCCCTGCTGGTGATTTGTGAAATGCTCGCGTGCGCGAAGCTGTTTCGGAGGCTTGCGAGCAGGGCAGTCCTAGCGGTCTCGCCTGAGCATTGGCATGAGCATTCTCGTCAAGCGCATTACAGGCAAGACAAGCACTCTACCATATGTTGATGCAGGTGAGACAGTTCTGTCTGTGAAAAAGAGGCTGGAGGATGTTGAAGGTATTCCAGTCGACCAACAAAAACTGATCTTTGCCGGCAAACTCCTCCAGAACGAGCAGACCTTGTCCGACTACAAATACCAACCGGGTGAGCTCATACATTTGTGTCTGCCTGGGCTCCGAGCCGGACCAAGGTATGACGCAGTACTGGATCACCAGTTCCAGGGCCCCGTCCTGGAGGTTTTGTCCACAGACTGTGCGCATCGGGGTGATTGCCCAGTTCTGGCTCGGTGCCGAGACTCGTACGAGTACACCGAGGAGGCTTATGTTCACATGAAGAGCTGTTACCACGGCGCACGCATCCCTTGCAGATACGGCTCAGATTGCCGGGCGCATCAACGCCTGATCCGTGGGGGCGAGCGACTTGACGACAGGCGGGTTTGTGTAGCAGCCCTTGCATGCACAAAGTATGCTTCAAGCTGCCCCAAGGTTGCGATCCTGTGTGTAACTCCGGTGTACCAGTATGTATAAGCAATAAGAACATGAAACAGGTTTGACTAGCAAACGTCCAACAGCAGTCTACGTAGACGATAACAAAACGGCACCAACTGCGACAACCCCTTTAACTGAAAGCTTTCCAAAAGAGCAGCAGAAGCTGGGGCCCAGGCGTTGACCAAAACTCGTGCGTTCATCATTTGCGAGTGTGGCAAAGCGCCTGCGGTGTCACGCGGGTGTTGCCACAGGCGTCCACAAGCATCCACAAGTGTCCGCGGAGCCGCATGCGCCCTTGATTTTGTCAAGGCCCGCATCTTGCGGGTGTCATGCTGGCGACTTACCTAGCAGAAGCTCTCACGAACCCATTTTCCCCTGCTCCGGTCTAAAGCCGAGCCTGCTCCTTCGGGCTGCGCAGGGAAACGGCAGCGGCAGGAGACCCTCGCTCAGGCCAAAGAGGCACGACCACCCAAGCAAAGTGAGGGCTCCAAAGGCGCTTTTTTTAAACTCTCCGCCTCCACTGCTGTTAGTATCGTTGTGTATTTCTATTTCTGTTTTCATGTTCCTGTACGTTTCGACGGGTGCTCCGGCTCAGCCTTTGTGCAGTATTTCTCCTCCTCTGAGCTCAGTAGTTGCGCATGGACCTCCAGCAACAGTGTGACAGACAGCCTAGACACGTATGAAGATATCGCAGATGCTTTCTGCTTGCCACGACACAAGCTGTCAAAGACACAAGCTGTCACAGCCTGTAGTCGCAGCTCCTGATTCATTAAGAATCGCGTGTGGTATAGTTTTGTGGCGTTTTGGGGTGCCGGAGCGTTCGCCTACTTTCAGTTCCATTTCATAGGTGCGCTCTCTTTAACGACGATTCCCGGCTCTGAGAATCGAATCTCCTGCTTTTTTGTAGGCGGTTGCGACCTGCACCAGAAAGATACCCCGCCCGTCGCTCACCTCATGCGGGCGATCCACATGTTTGCATTTGGGTTTCTGGCTCCTAATCATTGTCCCAAGTGACAAGTGACCCTGCAGCTGAACCTTTGGTGGCTACGAAGTGTACTTGTATTAATGGTTTGTAAAGGTGAGGCGATCAAGAGTGAACTGCACGATTCGATGCTGCTAGCATTTTTCTAACTCATGTAGTCGTCTGTGCACGACACCAGGTGTCATGAGCTGATCTTTGACCACCCGCCGCGCTTGCGAATGCGCGATATGGAAGGAAGAGGTTTCAACCCTTTAGCGTGCGTCAGGAGCTCCGGTACGGTCTCAAGCACCGGCCTATGCGAGTCCGTGGATGTTAAACGCGGCACAGTACCATGCCTCTACAGGGTGAAGCTGCCAAAGGATGTCGGCTTACAACCAGACAGAGATCTCGTTCGGGAGCTGATGGCTGAGGTGGAGCGAAATGGCTGTGGGAATCAGCTGATTTCCACGGAGGGGCAGTCCCTCATGTCGGTCGCTCGAAGGTACAGAGATCACCCTTTCCATGCATCCATCGGTATGCCTCTCAATGATGGGGAGCTGCTCGCGCTGGTGCTGTACACGGGATGTGACTGCAACTACTCCTTGACCAGATCCCTGTTGAACGACGATCATGACACTTGGAAGGTGTTCGACTACACGCTTTCCATGGCCATTGGCATTTTGTCCTGGCACTATCGGGCTTCGGAAGTCCCCTTGTATACCGGACTCTCCAAGGTTTACATAGATGCGTCCCTCTTTCTTCCGAGTGCTGATCGGTTCAACAACCACGGGGCATTTCTCAAGTGCCACACCAGCACCTCCACCAAGCGACAAGTGGCCGAGGCGTTTCGGGGTTTAGAGGGTGTGCTCATCACCATTCCTCCGCAAACCGCCCCTAAGATCCACACGAGAACTGATCGCGTGTGTGGCATGGCTCCAGTCGCTTGGATCTCCAAATTTGGGGACAACGAGGCCGAGGTGCTCTTCAGCCGCTTCACGTGGTACTCCATGCAGTTCCGCGAGCGCTCCCGTGTGAACGGTCAGCAGGAGGTGGATGCATTCTACAACGTCGGCATGATCTATGGCGAGCTGCTTTGATGACTTGTGGAGCCTGATCCCTGCGCAGCCCGGGGAATGGAAACCGTGAGCCCCGACGGGCTTTGCTCGGACAGGGTGGCCGGAGGCCCCAAGCTTGCTCCAGCTTTTGTTGAGCTCGGTTGGGGGGGTTTTTAGTCCACGGGCCCCAAGGGACACGGTTTTCCCCCTCAACTGCTTTGCTTTTTCACCTTCTCACGAGATGGAAGTATATGAGAACAAGTTTGATTGTAAAGAATACTTAGAAGCCTTTCTGCCCGTAAGCACCTTCATCAACCATACTCCAAGTACAGCAGGATGTCGACAAGAAACCTGAGTTCTCCGGAAGAAGCCCTGGGCTCGAAACTTGACTTGCGACCGCGTAGCAAAACAGTTGCAGCACCTGCTGCAGGCATTTGCAAGATTGCAGGTAAGCCCTAAAACCCGGCATGGGCCTCGAGGACGGGCAGGGTGCGCCGGCTCAACAGTCCTAAGCCTTGTTGAAAAAACGGGAGACCCTAAACCGCAGAAGCCCTAAACCCTGAACCAAAGGCGCTGCACCTTCAATCTTGAGCTGAGCACTAACAGCCGAAGTAAAGATACACCTGGGCAGGTCTTGACCTCCTACGCCAACAACTTGACCCTAGGGCACACGCTGCCCAAGCGCTGGCTGCTGATTGAAACCCGGCTGGAGATGGGCTTTCTGGAGGTCTTAGTCCAGAGGATGCCCAGCGTCGAAGGCCACAACCCCTTCTGAGTGGGGACCCTAATTCCCTCATTCCCGATGAAGTCCTAAACCTTAAGCCGTAAACCCTAAACCCTAAACCCTAAAGCCCAAAAACCCCGAATGCACGGGAAACCTTGGTTGACGATCCAACCGGCCATGCACATCATCCTCAAACCTAAGCCCTAAACCCTAAATCCTAACCCTTACACCCTACACTCACTATTGCTACGGCTGGGGGCCGCAGCCCATGTGTGGGTCCATGTTGAGAGCTCTTTTTTTAAACTGGAGACATGGCAACACCGAACGGAAATGAACGAAGTAGACCCCTGGACGTGGACAAAGTTTCGAGGCTGCCTGCTGAATAGTTTAGGGTTTGAGAGCTTTGCATAAGGAACACTTTTCTTAACAAGATGCCCTTTAACAGTCCAAAGGGCCGTACTCAAAACCCAACGCTCCATTTCTTGAAGAAGCTTGGCCCTCAGCCTCCTGACCTTGAACCCCAGGCCCTCGTAACACTGACATAGAAACCCCGTCTTTTGGGGCTCTTTGGTGGCTTTTCGGGGCTTCTTCAATCTACCTGAGGCTGTTCCTTTACCCGCAGGAAGTCCAGAGCACCCCCAGGTCTACTACGCGCCGGACCGCCGGGGCGCGGTCGAAGACTTCATGGCGCAGAGGGGCTTCAGTCTCGACTCCAAGGAGGCTAGCTTGGGAGGTTCGGGGTCTTTTGAAACCCTGAACCCTGAACCCCAAACCCTGAACCCCACACTACACCTGAAACCCTAAACCCTAAACCCTAAAAACCCCTGGGGGGGGAGGGGGGAGGGGATTCGGGGTTTTTCCGTTGGCCCTCCAGTGCATGGAAGGCAGTATATAAAGGCCTCACAATTTAGGATTTAGGGTTAAGGCTGAAGGGTGTTTTTGGGGTATTTAGGGCTTCGTTTCTGAGTACTTCGCGATAGCCTTTAAACCTTTTGGGGGGTTATACAATCCTACCAGAATTGCCCAGGGAACTTACAACTCAGCAACCCTAAAATCTGGGGGGCAGAGCTTAAGCCCTTCGACCTCTATGGCGTCGGTCGACCCAGGTTGTTCGTCCGTTTGCTCAAAAAGTTGCATTTTTTTGGGATCCAAACCCCAGAAGTTAGGCCGAAACCCTAAAAGGAATAGGTTTGGGTGGTTTTGCCGCCTGAGATGGCGTGGGGTGGGATAAAAGAGTTAGATGGCCCTCCACTATCGGGCCATGGCTACTCCTCGCATTTCACGAGGCTATCGAAGCGAGTCTGCATCCCAACCTTCACAGCTTCTGCGCCCAGCAAACCCTAAACCCTAAACCCTAAACCCTAAACCCTAAACCCTAAACCCTAAACCCTAAACCCTAAACCCTAAACCCTAAACCCTAAACCCTAAACCCTAAACCCTAAACCCTAAAAACACTAAACCTAAACCCGTAATACCCTAAAAACCTAAACCTAAACCCTAAACCATAAACCCTAAACCCTAAACCCTAAACCCTAAACCCTAAAACCCTAAAACCTAAAACCCTAAACCCTAAAGTCCCTAAACCCTAAACCCTAAACCCTAAACCCTAAACCCTAAACCCTAAACCCTAAACCCTAAACCCTACACCCTAAACCCTAAACCCTCAACCCGAAACCCTAAACCTTAAACCCTAAACCCTAAACCCTACACCGGGTGTTCAGGGTATTAGGGCCCTCTGGTTGCGGCTGTTGAAATTTCTTCGGTTTGCCGGGAGGGCCTTGGGTGGAAGTGGAAGCCCAGAGTCTTTAGGGTTTAGGGTTTAGGGTTTTAGGGTTTTAGGGTTTTAGGGTTTAGGGTTTAGGGTTTTAGGGGTTTTAGGGGTTTTAGGGTTTTAGGGTTTTAGGGTTTTAGGGTTTTAGGGTTTTAGGGTTTTAGGGTTTTAGGGTTTTAGGGTTTTAGGGTTTTAGGGTTTTAGGGTTTTAGGGTTTTAGGGTTTTAGGGTTTAGGGTTTGAGGTTTAGGGGGATGAGGGCAACAGGGGACTTTCGAGCTTCGGACTTTCAGCAATAGGGGCCTATGAACATTCGACATACTAACAGTCCTGACTAGGGATTTTGTACCCCTATTATAATCTTAAGGACTGTTAGTATAAGGGGAGCATCCCAACCCAAAACCCTAAACCCTAAACCCTAAACCCTAAACCCTAAACCCTAAACCCTAAACCCTAAACCCTAAACCCAAAACCCTAGACCACCAGACCACGGCCTGCAGCAACGTTCAACTTGCAGGCGTCAGCCAGT